CCCTGCCGCTCCGACATCCTGCTGCTCCGCGCTTGGAGCTGCAAATCCGCGGCTTCCCGCTGGAAAGCGTTTCCCCAGGACGTGTCCCAAGTGCTGAACGCTTCCAGAATGTGGTGTTTTCCCCCAGGGTCACCACGTTCAACCTCCCAGGTGAGGGGAATACAAGTGTGTTCCGGGTAAAGAGCACATCCGGAGGGCTCCTCCGTGGTTTTGTACCTGCTGCCGTGGAGACTCACCAAGGAACGCCCAAGGGACAGGCAGGAATGTTCCAGGGAGACCCAAAATAATGAGAAAATGATCCAGAAAGCGAATTTCTCTGGGAGAAACGGCTCTTGGTGGTTCCTGAAGTGCCAGGTTTGGAAAACCATTGGAGCCAACAGGAGGGCTCCTGGCTGAGAGGGAGCACCTTTGGCATCGGCACGGGAATTCCAAGCGGATCCCACCGAGCTCCACGCTGGATAAACGACTGGGAACGTCCCCAAACAGCTCCAATTCCAGGGTTATCAGGTGAGGTGGATGTTTGGAGCAGGCAGCATGTCTGGACCTGGGAGCTCCTCGGCAACATGGCTCCAATGCCCCATTCCCTGGTGGCCTCTGCTTCCCACCCCTCAGGACAGTCACATCCCAGCTTCCCTGACCCCCATAGCCAAGAGAAAGGAATACTGGATCTGCAGGGGCAGAGAAGGCGCTTCCAAAGGTGAATTAATTAAATCTAAACCAACGAAAAGCTCCCGGGAGAAGGGGAATGATCAGCCACAAGGACACTGGGGACAGCACGGCCTGGAAAAACATCCCTTGGATCAGGGAGATAAAGGGATTCTATAGGACAAAAGGGAAGACAACAACTCTACGGCCCCTGCCTCAGGAGCAGCAGTGTGGATTTTTGGGAAGCATCCAGGAGAAGGATTCCATGATCCTTGATCGGGATATTCCATGATTCTGTGACTCCATAACCCTGCCCAGGGCTTGGGACTCCACAGAGAAGGAAATCCTGGATTCAACAGGTTCTGTTTGCCAAAAGCAGAGGTTTGGGGACGCTCCAACTCCAGGGTGCCCCATCCCAAATCTTGGCTGCCGATGCCCAGGGATCTAATTCCATGGGAATCTTTTAGGAATGCAAAGCAGAGCGACGCAGGAATCCCCGACTGGAATCGGCACCCAGACACTTCCCCTTTCCCCAGCTGGCTCCAGACCCACCCCAATCCATAACCCCCCCTTTTCCCTCAGGGATGTGCTGTCTCCATGGGGCTGGGATGATCCCGAGCCCCCCAGCTCTCTGGGGAGAGGGTCTGGGGATCCCAAACCCGAGGCAGAGGCACCTCCCGCAGTGACGCAGCTCTGAGACAGCTCCTGCTGCTGGGGCCTCCCATCCCGGCACCCACCTCGTCCTCCATGGAACTCCCCGGGAGATGGGACAGAACCGGGCTGGGAGAGCCGGGGGGGCTCTGGGGGGAAAGGGGGAGCTGCTCCCCTGGCTTTGGGGGAGCCAGGGCCGGAATGGAGGAGCTCAGGGCCAGGAAGTGCCACGGCCACAGCTTCCTCCCTCCCACGTGACAGGTCGAGCTGGGGGTGGAACTGGTGATGGGGCTGTGGCACGAGCCCATTCCCACCTCCCACCCCGCCTCCTGCACCCCTAAATCCCTGGGAACACCCCACATCCTTGGTGCTTTCCTGCTGGGAAATCCCCCCATCCCACGGGAGGCTGAGCCCTGGTTCCTCCTCAGAGGTCAGAGCTGGTTTGTCTCCAGCACCTGGGTAGAGACCAGTGGTTGGACCTGATGATGCCAGAGGTTCTTCCAACCTTAATGATCCCATGATCCACTGAGTCCATGGACAGGAAAGCTTTTTCCTGCCCAGAGAAGCTGTGGCTGCCCCATCCCTGGAGGTGTCCAAGGCCAGGTTGGACGGGGCTGGGAGCAACCTGGGCTGGTGGGAGGTGGGCAAGGGGTGGAACTGGGTGAGCCTTAAGGTCCTTCCAACCCAAACTCTTCCATCATTCCATGATTCTATTTTGAGTTTCAGGTTTCACATTTGGAAAGCAAAGCTGGGAATGAGGCTACAACTCCCC